GGTTTGCATTTGCTTCATTGTTACTGATGATGTTGCTGCTTTTGTCGTCATCATCGTCACTGTTGTTGGTATTGTTGTTGTTGAGTAGTTGTTGTTTCTATTGTTGTTTTTGTTGCGATTGTTGTTGTTGTTGTTGTGCTAGTTGCTGTTGTTGTTGTTGTTGTTGTTGTTGTTGTTGGTGGTGGTGGTGGTGGTGGTGGTGGTGGTGGAGGTGATGATGTTGTGGATAATGTAATTTATGAACTCATTGCCCTTGTTGTTGCTTGCTTGCATTTGTATGTGTCGGGAGTTTTAAAAACACCAACCAAATAAAGAAACAAAGAAACAAAATAAAAACAACAATTGTAAGCCCGACATCATGCCCAGGCCACCTTGCACCCGACAGGACACCAAAGACTGATGATAAGGCTGTTGCTGTTGTTTGGGGGTTGGTTTTTGTTAGGGGGGGGGGGGGGTGGCAATCGCCTGGGGAATTTCGAAATATAACTAGATCTAGCTATTAATTCTGTTTATCACAGTTCTCAGTGCTTTGCCTGTCCGTAAGGTCGCAAAGCTCCGTTGAGACAAAGATTAGCCAGAGATGGATTAATACTTAGCATCACGGCAACGGAGTCTGTCAAAACATTTTGTCTGTAAAATATTTTGTCTGTGAAGCAACCTTTATTTTGTAAAGCAACATTTTGTCTGAAATAATATTTTGTCTGTTAAACATTTTGTTTGTAAAACATTTTCTTACAACAATGAAATAGATCTAGACCCTGGCCTACATATTATTATGCCGGATTCGTAAGAGCAATTGCTTTCACTGGAATTTTCAGCTTTTACAAACGTCATAAAATGATGTGTCCAAGTCCGGTATCCATTCATTTTCTGTTTTTACTTTTTGCCTGCCACGGGCACTCCTTCTCAGTTTGTAATGATATGTCGTGTACCAAAACAGATCTACCAAAAGGAATATAATCTTCTTTCTTTCTTTCTTTTTTCTGTCTTTCTTTCTTTCTTTTTCAGTATATAGTACTCACCTGTGAATTAAATTCGAAAAGAACTGTAATAATATGAGGATGTCAATGTGATTCTCACACAAGATAAGCTCAAAGTAATAACAAACGTAATTCGACAGTCTAGTTCAGGTATTGATGAAGATCGAGGAGCCCTTCGTCTCTGAATCTGAGATACTTATGTGAGCAATAGAAGAACCATTAAGTTGCGGTATCGAAATAGTGCGCATCTCAGGGAGTGGGCATTTTGGTATTTTTAATAAATATTGCAAAGATATGGCCAGACAAAATTTGAATTATTCAAAAACGTTTTTTTTTCTTCTTTATTTCAAGGCGTTGCTCGGCAATCGCAGGTTGTAGCCCTCCAACAACAGCCCCCCAACTCTGTTCTGTCGGTTTTTCTCGTATCCAGCTTGTACCCTTCGGCTTTCTACATTGCTTCATCAGAATCTAGCGCCTTCTTTCTGGTTTCCTCTTGATCGTTTCCAAAAACTTAAGAATTATTATATTCGTGACTCTGCATCTAGATCTAGAAATCTTGTCGTTTTCGATGTCGATTCTTGTTTATCGTGTTCAAACACTTGTTGAAATTTAATGTTCGAGAGTTATTCCACAAAGATGGCTTTTACTGGTAATATTCTACGTTGGTCTGTCATTGGGTAAATGAAGATTCTCTGTAACGCTATTGTTCAAAAGCGAGGAAATGTTCCATTCCTAGAGTATAAGTTACTCGTTATAAGGTTGTCCATGTGGTTTCCCACCCAAGATAGTCTCAAAGTAATAACAAACTGGTTTCTGTGGAGGCTCAGAAAGACGTCAGTTCGTGAACTGATTCAGTCAAATATGTGCTCACACAAACCGATTACATGTATATCCTCTTGGCTCGCCGGCGCGAACAAGCCCCGTTTAGCTATATTGTAATACTGTGAGTGCCAATGGGTGTCGTTCCACAAAGTCGCCACAAGCCAAATCTTTGGTGACCATGATTCGCCGAACAGGCCTTGTGTGTGAGAGTTTGAGTTTGTGCGTGTGTGTGTGTGTGTGTATGTGTGTGTGTGTGTGTGT